GTAGCTGATAATATTCAAAACAACTCCTCTGTGGACCACAAAGATGGCAAAAATATAGCTTGGTGATTCTCTATATGACATTTTAATTAAGTTAATTTAGATTTTTCTTCATATTAGTTACAAATTTTTTATTTTTTTTTTGGGATTGGCTGCTATGTGTAGAGACTTGCATCTAGAAGAACTCTGATTTTCATTTCTTTTCTTTTGACAGTTTAGCATTGTCTTTTTTTCACTTTTGGAGGTTGGAATGTCGAGCATGAAGTATCGGTTAGACAAATCAGCTCCACTGCAGTGGTGATGTCTCTGACAGCTTCTACAGTAATTTAAAACATATCTTTTGTCACAAGTGAGTACAGCTCTTTTTTAATGTCCAAATCTTAAGATGTAATTTCTGCTGTCTTACACAGATACACAGATGTCGCCCTATCTGTGAATGGAATTTTATTTAGGTTTATTTAGGACTCTTGGTTCAGGTTTCACTTCTGAAGCTGGCTGCACATTCTGTTTGTAAGAGTAGATGGAGACTTCAGTAAGTAACCACAGGCTGCACCCCGTGAACTACTTCGCCTTGGTGATCACTTGTCCTCAAAATAGACACGCAGTAACGTGTATTTGTTTGTTTTGTATGTGAAAAGTAGAAACTGTACAATGGCAGTTGAAAACTCCTGTTTAATGATAATTTCATAATCTCACAACAACCCTCAAACTAGGAAACATTAAGTCAAAAAGATTTGACCCAAAAGGTTGTTGGACATTTGCAAAAAAAACACTACATTTCTTTTACTGTGTGTTTTGAGATGTTGATCTCTTAATTGTTTATTAACTATATTTTTGTTATTCTGTGTTTAGACATGACAGGAAATGACATGTTTTGTGGACAGGAGTTCGGGAAATCAACGATGACAATCCACTTGTCATCTTCCTTCTTGCTAAGTTAGCGGAAAACTGTTTTCCTTAAAGACAGACTGTTACTGCTGAGTAGCATTAGTGATTTTGTGCTCA